CAATTCTAATTGGCTAACAAATATTAAACCTTATGATTGTTAAGGGCACCCAGTGATTCTGTTTAGCTTTTGATGGGGATAAGTAAAATAAAGAAAGGGAAACGATTTGAAGGGGAAAAAATGGTTGACATGTATACTTTATGAGCAGTAACCCAAGTATCCATTGAAAAAATATGAGCACACATTATATTTAATAGTGCAAATGTTATCTTAATTCTTTATCAACAATTCATGCAGATAGTTTAATACCAAACATTTTAGGTAGGATTAACAATCTGTGAAACAGAAGGTTTAGCAAATGAGAGATGGAATTTGTTCTACCTGCAGCTGCAAGAGAAGGCAAATGTAAGCTCCTAGTAGCCTGGATCATGCGTGAGACATTCTTTCTCTGCCAAGGAAATGCAGGCAGATTTGGAAAATATTATGGTTATCATAGCCCTGATTTATACTTCCCATGGAAGGTAATGAAGCTTGTGTCCAAACTTATTTTTGTCCTTTTGTAACGATTTCCTGGGAATGAAAGATAGGTGCATTCCTTGTTTTTCTTTTTCCATGTGGCAGAATCCCCTAAAGCATATCCCTGCTTTTTGAACTCACCAAAACATCTCATTAGTAAAAGCAAGATTCAGCTCACCATAATCTTTCCCCAGCTAAGGCAAAGCTGCACAATTTACAATAGATCTTTGGAAAACTGCTTTTTACTGAGTGCTGCTGCATCTATAGATCTCTCTCAATTACCCACAGTAAATTTAGGCATTGTACAAGAGCAAATTTTACAGTCCATGAAGAGATGAAGTGAAATCTAGATGAAATTCATTGTGACAGATTCCCAGTTAGTGCTCTGATGTGTCTGTATTACAGAAGATAGACATTCTATTAGCATGGAAGCTCCCATAATGGACTGTGAATCATCTCAGGTAATAGAGATGCCAAGCAGAATGACTGAAAAGCACTATTGAATTCCATTAGAGCTCTTTGTTTTTAAATCAGTCATTTCTTGTGAATAACCAACTATACACTTCTTGACCCTATCACCAAGTGATAATTGTGGACTAATATTACAATACATTAATCTGAGTTACTGTGCAATTAGCGTTTCAGTCATAGGCTGATTTGGGGTTTCCTAAATGCAAAGGCCTACTCCTTTGGACACTGCAACTTATATTACAAAAATGCAGTTTCAGAAATGGGCTTATCCATGATTTCATTTTTAGTCCTGTTTCAACATCACTGGAATCATTTCTTGGACATACTGGATACAAGAATTTTGTATTGTGACTTTGTGACTTTCCACCCTTATCCTTTAAAGATTCCTCTTGCACCAGATCAGACATATAAGGCAAAATAATTATTATGGAGGTGAGTCCATAAGGAAATGATTTTAAATAAGCCAGGTTAGCTAGTTGTTTTTTTTTTTTATCTTAAATGTGTAGTTAATCACTAGGAAAAGAAAGAAGATCACATTCTGCCACATAAACAGCCCCACCTATTCTATCAATCAAATATGATTGATCAGACTTAGTAATTACTTAGATAATTAGTGCAGGGTTTAGGTTTGTGCAGTACTTTGAAGCGGTTAGGATGCCTGCATAATTACCACTTGTACAATAGATCATGTTATGTGAATTATTCTATTCAATTATAACATAAACATGAAACACTTAGAATAGACAACCTGAATAGCACACATTTCTTAATTCAATGCATTCGATAAAAATGCAATAGCTTGTCATGAGGCAAAGCTTTCTTTTTGGGGGGGCAAAGGCTCTGATGTTAACATATATACATTGAAAACAGAACAAATCTCTTCTTGTGTCTAGTGTCTTCCACCTGATTTACAAGGCAGGAGAGAGGTTGTTTTGAAAGGATACTCTGGTATCCAAAGTGCAACATCAGTTGATACGCCTCACTATTCTCCCATAAATACCCAGGGACAACTTTAAAAAGAGTTGACTTTACATCTTCTGTCTACAATCATCTATTTTCACATCAGGACGTGAAAATAGATTATCCCCATCACTGGAGGACTGGAGACTACTGCCTCAACATGAGGTTCTCTCCTCAATGTTGTAATGACAGGTGTAAGATTAACTTTGTTAGGTGTCTAGCCACTCATGCAAACTAAATTAAATTAATGGAACAAATTTCTCTCATAATTAAGATAAAAATTCATGTCAGCTGTAACCTTGCTGTACACTAATTATATACAAATGATTTATCATCTGCTTTGCCCAGAATATTAATCCTTACCTCATTGATAACTGCAGCCAGTGTTAAGAGATGAAAGTTGATTAACTATGACAGATTGGGCAACCACAGCCCTCGGTGCCGGCACAAACAGTGAAACCAATAACACTCAAGTAGCTTTCCATGTTTAAAATACATTCCCATGGAAACAGATGCATGCTTAATGAAGGATACTGAGATTATTTCCAATAATGACTGATATTGGAACAGTGGGCAGAACTGATCAATAACAATTAACCACTTAGTCTGCTAAAGACATGGTCAGAGAAAGCAGGTTATTTACACATTAGTAGAACCTTATTCAAAAACGAGTACTCCATAATGTCTCTATGTTGTACTGTTTCTCTTTCTTCCTGCCTGGGAAGGGCTCCATAGTGGAGGGATGGTACCATGCCAAGTACCCTCCTGTCATATTTATTTATGTTTTTATTGAATTTATTGGGGTGACATTGGTTAATATAATTATATAGGTTTCAGATGTATAATTTTATATTACATTGTCCATACATGGTATTGTGTAATCACCACCCCAAGTCAAGTCTCCTTCCATCACCATTTATCCCTATTATCCTACTCCCTAAATCCCCCTTCACTCTGGTAATCACCATACAGTTGTCTATGTCTACAAATTTTTTTCTGCTTACTCCCTTCATCTGTTTCACCAAGCCACCCAACTCCCCTCCACTCTGACAGCTGTCAGTCTACTCTCTATAAATCTGTTTCTATTTTTTCTTTAGTTTATTTTGTTCATTAGATTCCACATATAAATGAAATCCTATGGGACTTGTCTTTCTCTGACAGACTTATTTTTCTTTACACAATACTTTCTAGGTCAATCCATGCTGTCACAAAAAGTAAGATTTTCTTCTTTTCTTTTATAGCTGGGTAGTATTCCATTGAGTGAATATACCACAACTTTTTTTATCCATCCCTCTACTGCCAATTAAAAAACAGGCAAAGGACTTGAAAAGACAGTTTTCCAAAGAGGACATACATATGGTCAGTAGACATATGAAAATATGCTTAACGTCACTAATCATCAGAGAGATGCAAATTAAAACCACAGTGAGTGGTTATAAGTGTCAAGGGTTGTAGAAAAAGGAAACCCACAACCCTTGTGCACTGTTGGTGGAAATGTAGACTAGTGTGGCCACTGTGGAATGCCTATGACCCAGGGATTCCTGTCACTTCTTAATGCCTGCTTATGAAATGAGTGGTTGATGTTGCCAGTGGTTCTTTGGATGCTCTCAAGATAACTGCCAAATGAGGCTTGCAAGATGGCGATGGAGTAGGATGGAGCGGATTCCATTTCCTTGTACACCTGGGAGAGGATCCTGGCCAATCTGCAGAGGAGCAGCACAGGCAGCTGGCAGTTCCCCAGCATATATAAAAATAAGGGACCAGAAATTGTGACGGTCACAGAGGATCCAGATGGTAGGGAGACGGCGGCAGTACAGTGGAGTTTCAGGGATGGGAGCAAAGATAGAAGCAGTAGGGGCTTGAGCAGTGCACAGCCTGGGGCCCAGTGCCTGGTGCCAGCGCTCAGGACCAGCTCCTGGTGCATCTCCCTCAGACTCCTTGGGAACCCCGGGCCTGCTGAAGGGTCCTTGGGGGAGAGCTAGGTTATCAGCTCTCTCCTTCTCCGGCCAAGCAAGGTTGGGCACCAGAAGCAACTTGTTTGCTAGAGTTCAAAGAGAGGATGCTGAGGACAAAGGGCCGAGATCAACCACGGACTCTGTGGTCACCAGCCTGGGAGAACTGAGAGGCGCAGTGTGGGGCTCTGACTCCAATAGTCACTGGTCTGCCTGGGGGAATGGGCTGTTCTGAGAGGCAGGCTTTCTAAAGGAGAAAATTTTGGTAATGTAAACTAAAGGTTCCTTCTACTACAGCTGCCCCGTCTGCTCCCCACCCAGCCTGGCAGTGAACCCAAAGTTGGACGGAGGGCCTGGAGTTCCCCCACAGAACTGGGTTGGGTCTGCGCCCAAACATGCGGCAACCAGGCAGCCTGGCCGGTGTGTGCGCACATGCCCTCCGCAAACCCATCCCATGGTGGTAACCCCTGGGAAAAGAGCGCTGTGAGGAAGTCCTAGATCCCCTTTGTAGGGAGGTGGGGAGAGGCGCCCGTTTGGCTCTTGGGAGAGCACTGGCAGAAAGACCACGCTAATATTCCCTCAGCCTGCTGCAGCCAGAAAAACTGGTTTGGCCAGTTTGAATCCAACAAGAGATGTTTTGGTGATTTTTTTTTTTAAGTAATCTTTTATCTTTTAAATTTTATCATTGTTTTATCTTTCAATACTTTTTTCCTTTTTTCTTCTTTCTCTCTCTCTCTCTCTCTCTCTCTCTCTCTCTCTTTCTTTCTTTCTTTCCAAACTTACCGCTTTTTCCTCCCTTCTCCTGCCTTTCTTTTTTTCTTTTACCCACAAGTGACACAAACAACTTCGAACTGCGAACAGACCAGAGCTGTACCCAAAGAAGAGGCTTCTTAACAGTAGAGGAAGAGAGTCAAATTTCACTTTGCTATAGCAGAGAAGCCACAAGTTGCATATGTATATTATTATTATTTTTTCATTATTCTCACTTCTTTTATATTTTAACAGTATCTTTGTATCCCTCCTCTTTCTGTATAGGCTCCTTTGCCTTGGCTGGTTATATTGTATCATTTGACAGGTTTTCCCTGTTCTCTCCTCCACAGTGTATTGCCAATTTACTTTTTTAAAAAAATTAATTAGTTTATTTATTATTATTATTTTTACATGTGTCGGGACCTGGGTTTCACCTCCCTACACCAAGTGGGCAGTGAGCTGAGGTCCCCGGTGACTCTGGGCGCCGAATCTCACCCACAGTCACGGACAGGCCAATTTTCTATACTTCACGCCACTTGTTTTCGTTTAGCACACTACCCAAAGTTCTATACCCCCTATTCAGACAGATCACATAAAGTCTGTCATATGATTGTTGCTCTAACATTATTGTAAATAATAGCTGTTCTATACAACTGTAAATACTTCATAACACTTCTTCTGGATCTTAGTCCCCTTTACAATTTCCTTAATTCTATTACTGGAGTAATTAACTTTATTTGCTCATACATTACACCTATTTCCTATCCTTTATTCTCACCTTACCCTAGAATCTGATCGACCACAACCTCACTGCTTTCTAGATCCAACTCACTAGCCTTCCCTCTCCAACAAGAGACTTATCTTGTGTCCATCCTCTCTTAAAAGTGGCAAGTTGGGGTGAAGATTACGGTTAACACTATATATAGCCTAAAGATCTTCTATCTCTTCTCTATTGGCTGTGACTGTAAATATCATAAAATAGTCTTCTGCTGTCATAAACCATTTTGCCCCCCCCCCAAAATGATCACACACAAAAAGGAGTAGGTGGAAGTTGAGAACACCAGGATAACTGAAGGAGACTGAACCACTGAATTTCACAGGCATTTCACCACAGAAGTTCACACCATAAACCCAGGGAGTCAGAACAGATCAATCCAAGAAGCTGAGGCTAACAAGAAGAGTCTCACAAACAATGGGAAAATAAATAAACAACACCCCAATGAAAGGAAAGGAGGAAGCCTCAGAAAGAATGTTAGATGAAATAGAGGCAAGTTAACTATCAGATATTGAATTCAAAGCACTGGTTATCAGGAAGTTCAAAGAGCTCACAATGAGCTACCAGAAACTACAGGGGAGCTAAAACTAACTCACTGCAAACTATATCAACATGAAAAAGGAAATAGAAACTATCAGCAACAAGAGGAAATGAAGAATACAATTTCCGAATTGAAGATCACAGTAGAAGAAAACAAAAGCAAGATCGATGAAGCAGAAGATCACATCAGTGAGTTGGAGGACAAAATAGAGAAAACTCACAGAAAGAGCAAGAAAAGGAAAAAAGGCTCAGAAAGAATGAAGAGGGATTAAGAGAAATGCAAGACAATATGAAACATAATAATATTCAAATAATAGGGTACCAGAAAAAGAAGAAGAAGGACTAGGAATAGAAAACCTATTTGAAAAAGTAAAGAGGGGAAACTTTCCTAATTTGATGAGAGAAAAAGCTACACAAATCCAGGAAGCACAGAGAGTCCCAATCAAGAGGAACCCAAGGAGGCCCACTTCAAGACACGTCATCATCAAAATGGCAAAATTCCAAGACAAACAGAGAATCTTAAAGGCAGCAAGGGAGAAAAAAGAAGTAACATACAAAGGAGTCCCAATAAGGTTAGCTACTGACTTCTCAATGGAAACACTCCAAGTAAGAAGAGAATGGCAAGAAATATTCCAAGTAATGAGAACCAGAGGTCTGCAACCAAGGCTACTATACCCAGCAAGGCTCTCAATCAAGATAGAAGGCCAAATAAGGAGCTTTCAAGACAAAACAAGTCTAAAAGAATATGCTGACACCAACCCAGTCCTAAAAGAAATACTAAAAGGACTGCTTTAAATAAAGGAAGGAAAAGAGGGAGACAGAGAGGAACACAGGTACAAAAATGGCAATGAATAAGTACCTATCAGTAATAACCTTAAACATAAATGGATTAAATGCTCCAATCAAAAAATACAATATAGCTGAATGGATAAGAAAGCATGACCCTCACATATGCTGCCTACAAGAGACCCACCTCAGGACAAAAGACCATCACAGACTAAAAGTGAAAGGCTGGAACCAAATTTTCCAAGCAAACAGACAAGAAAAAAAAGCCGGGTAGCAATACTCATATCAGACAAAATAGACTTCAAAAAAGGACCATAAAGAGACACCCAGAAGGTCACTTCATAATACTCAAGGGAAGAATCCACCAAGAAGACATTAACATCGTAAATATATATGCACCCAACATAGGAGCACCCAAATATATCAAGAAAATCTTAGAGGAATTCAAGAAAGATATTGACAGCAACACAATTACAGTAGGAGATTTTAATACCCAACTGTCAAAAATGGACAGATCTTCCAAACAAAATATCAACAAAGATATTGTGGCATTGAACAAGGCCCTAGATGAAATGTACTTAACTGATACATATAGAGCCCTTCATCCCAAAGAAGCTAAATACACATTCTTTTCAAATGCACATGGAACATTTTCAAAGATAGACCACACAATAGTGCACAAAACAAGCCTCAACAAATTTAAGAAAATTGAAATCATACCAAGCATTTTCTCCGACCACAAGGAACTGAAACTGGAAAACAACCCCAAAGGAAATAATTCCAAACACTCAAAATCATGGACATTGAATAGCATGCTATTAAACAAGAAATGGGTTAAGAATAAATTAGGGAAGAAATCAAAAAGTTTCTGGAAACAAACGAAAATAAACTCACAACAACCCAAAACTTATAGAACACACCAAAAGTAGTCCTGAGAGGGAAGTTCATAGAAATACCTAAAGAAGATAGAAACATTTCAAACAAACAATCTAACCCTATGCCTGCAAGTACTGGAGGAACAACAACAAAGACAGCCCAGAGCAAGTAGAAGGACGGAAATAACCAAGATTAGAGCAGAATTAAATGACATAGAAACTAAAAGCACAATTATAAGGATCAATGAATTCAGGAGGTGGTTCTTTGAAAAGATAAACAAAATTGACAAAACTTTATTCAGACTCATCAAGAAAAGAAGAGAGAAGACCCAAATAAACAAAATCAGAAATGAAAGAGGAGAGATTACAACTGATACCACAAAAATACAAATGATTGTAAGAAACTACTATGAAGAACTGTATGCCAAGAAATTGGAAAACCTAAGTGAAATGGACAAATTTCTAGAAAAATATAATTTTCAAAAACTCAATAAAGAATAAGCAGAAGGCCTGAACAGACCAATAAAAGCAGATGAAAATGAAGCAGTAATAAAAAAACTTCCATCACACAAAAGCCCTGGACCAGATGGTTTCACAGGAGAATTCCACAACGCATTTAAGAAAGAGCTAACCCCTATTCTTCACAGACTATTAAAAAAAATACAAGAGGATGGAAAACTCCCAAACTCTTCTTATGAAGCCAACATCATTCTAATTCCAAAACCAGACACAGACACAACAAAGAAAGAAAACATCAGGCCAATATCACTAATGAACATACATGCTAAAATCCTCAACAAAATATTGGCAAACAGCATCCAACAATACATTAAAAAGATTGTACACCATGACCAAGTGGGATTCATTCCAGGGATGCAAGAATGGTTCAATATTCACAAATCAGTAAATGTAATACATCACATAAACAAAAGCAAAGACAAAAACCACATGATCATATCAATAGACACGGAAAAAGCTTTTGATAAGGTACAACACCCATTTATGATAAAAACACTCAGCAAAGTGGGTATAGAGGGAGCATTCCTCAATATAATAAAGGCCATATATGAGAGACCTACAGCAACATCATACTCAATGGGCAAAAACTAAAACCTTTTCCACTAAGATCAGGAACAAGACAAGGATGTCCACTTTCACCACTTCTATTCGATATAATATTGAAAATTTTAGCCACAGTGATCAGGCAAGAAAAGGAAAAAAAAAGGCATCCAAATAGGAAAGGAGGAAGCAAAACTGTCACTGTTTGCAGATTATATGATAGTGTACATGGAAAATCCTATAGACTCTACCCAAAAACTGCTTGAACTAATTAATGAATTTGGCAAAACAGTGGGTTACAAAGTCAATATCCGGAAATCAAAGGCATTTTTGTATACAAACAATGAATCAGCAGAAGCAGAAATCAAGGGAAAAATCCCATTCGATCCTATAGCAAAAAGAAAAATAAAATATCTGGGAATAAATCTAACCAAGGAGGTAAAAGACCTGTATGCAGAAAACTACACAACACTGAAGAAAGAAATCAAAGAAGACACAAACAAATGGAAATATATACTGCGTTCATGGATTGAGAGAATTAACATCATCAAAATGTCCCTACTACCCAAAGCAATTTACAGATTCAATGCAATACCTATTAAAGTACCAATGGCATATTTCACAGACATAGAATAAACACTTCAAAAATTTATATGGAACCATAAATGACTCAAATAGCTGCTGCAATTTTGAGAAAGAAGAACAAAGTAGGAGGGATCACAATACCTGTTACCAATCTGTATTACAAGGCGACTGTAATCAAAACAGCCTGGTACTGCTATAAAAACAGGCACATAGACCAATGGAACAGAACAGAGAGCCCAGAAATCAACCCAAGTGGCTATGGGCAATGAATATTTGACAAAGGGCGCAGTAACATAAAATGGAGTAAAAATACTCTCTTCAAAAAATGATGTTGGGAGAACTGGGAAGCTACGTGCAAAAAAAAAAAAAGAAACTTGAGCACCAACTTACACCATACACCAAAATAAATTCAAGGTGGATAAAAGACTTAAATATAAGCCATGACACCATTAAAGTCCTAGAGGAGAACATTGGCAAAAAAAAGAAATCTCAGATATTTCATGCAGCAACATTTTTACTAATATGTCCCCTAGAGCAAGGAATATAAAGGAAAGAATAAACAAATGGGATCTCATCAAAATAAAAAGCTCTGCATGGCTAAAGAAAACAGCATTAAAATAAAAAGAGAACCAACTGTATGGGAAAAACATATTTGCCAATGATACCTCAAACAAAGGTTTAATCTTCAAAATATACAAAGAACTCACATGATTCCACTCTAAGAAGACAAACAACCCAATTAAAAAGTGGGCAAAGGACTTGAACAGACACTTCTCCAAGGAGGACATATAGAGAATCCAGAGACACATGAAAAGATGCTCAATATCGCTAGCTATCAGGGAGATGCAAATTAAAACCACAATGAGACACCACTTTACACGGGTTAGAACGGCTATCTTAAACAAAGC